AAAGCGTGAGCCTCTCGTCAGCGGAATAACTGTACTGTGACGCGAGCGGCTGAATACACAGTTTTGACGTCTACCAAAACGTTATTCGCTGCAGGACCACTTCGAGCCCTCCCAGTTCCAGACGAGGTGCTCTGACGGCTGGAGGAGGCTAAAAGCCACAGCTGTTCCGAGCTTGTTTCTGCATTCTGAAAGTCAAGTGAGTCCGTGTAACGAGGATAAGTGAGATTTTTGTTCTTTTGGTATTTACCTAGATTATGAGAGTGAATAAAAGCAATAATTTATCTTGTGTTAAGATGTTTGTACTGATATGATTTGAAAGAGGCACAGGTGACCTATAATAATGTGGACTTGGTAGGCTGTTGACATCTCTGTTCCATGTCAGAGACCTTTTTTTTTTTTTAAATCGGAGTGGTCCTTGTGCAAGAGTGCATGAGACACCATCATTCAGTGTTACAGCCTGACACAGCACAAAACCCCGCCTCATGGAAATGTAAGTCAAAACCCAATAACTCATATTCTGTTGCTTCTATTAAGTTAATGCATGAGGCATTCATCACTCTCAGCTGCCTTGTAATGTTATGACAGCCTCACCAGCTAAGTATCTGTCATGGTTCTTGCATGGCTTGGAGTGATCTCGTGAGGTGGGCAACACCCAATGGACCATTTGCAGAATTAGTGGTTCGAGAGTGCATGGCTAAAAGACGAGAGTTCCCTGGCCGCAGGCACGTCCACTGCGTCCCGTTGGCGTATTGTGTCGCAGTGACTTAGATAGAGCTCCCCCAAAACCACTTTTGTCTCCCTTGAGGATTATCTTTCACCCCGAGGTAAATACAAAGAAGCCTTCGTCCCTCTCCGCTCGGCCAGCATGAAGAGAGAAAGGGCGACAAATCCATTTATTCTCGAACCCATATTTCTGCAAAACGAGGATTCTCCTACCGTGTTTGCAGCAACCAGCGGCCAGGACCTCCGGAGCGACCCTGCAGGTCGGCCTGCTGACGCAGCCGCTCCCCACCACCAGCGGGGCGTGCTTCGTGAGCATCTTCCAGGGTCCTGCGTACCCCCGTGTAGCAATACCACCACGCTCTTCGCCGCAGGTGACCAGTGACAACCAGCGCGGCCAGGCCAGCTCAGCTGCCCGCGGCACCTTGGTGTCGGCACACTCCACCAGCTGGGTATGTGGTTCTTGCACGGCTTGGAGTGATCTTGTGAGGTGGGAATCACCCGATTCTCATACCGTGTTTGCAGCAACCAGCAGCCAGGACCTCTGGAGCGGCCCTGCAGGGCGGCCTGCTAACGCAGCCGCTCCCCACCACCAGCGGGGCGTGCTTCGTAAGCATCTTCCAGGGTCCTGCGTACCCCCGTGTAGCAATACCACCGCACCCTTCGCTGCAGGTGACCAGTGACAACCAGCGCGGCCAGGCCAGCGCAGCTGCCCTCGGCACCTTGGTGTCGGCGGCCTCCACCAGCTGGGTATGTGTCATGGTTCTTGCACTGCTTGGAGTGATCTCATGAGGTGGGCAACACCCAATTCTTGTACCGTGTTTGTGGCAACCAGCGGCCAAGACCTCTGAGCGAACCCTACAGCCTCTTTCTCCATCACCCGTTTTACCTAAACTCACTGAAGATGTCTTTCTTCAGATTAATCGGAAGATCAAGCAGCTGGAGAACGAGAATCATCGCTTGGTGAGGCAGGCTGCCTTACAAAAGACAAGGGAAGCGACATTCCGGTCTCACTTGCACAAGTTCTTCACTGCGGACCAACTGGCAGCTCTATCGAGATCCGGCAACAGGGGGTCCAAGTGGTCTAATGAGACGGTGAAGAAGTCGCTGCAGATGCGATTTGCATGTGGCAGCTTGGGCTACGACTTGCTACTGGAGGGGAGCTTCCTATTGCCGTCGTCTAGAACTCTGGGGCGGCGGCTTGAAGGCAAGTTTGTTGTCAGGCCACTCAAATGCTTCAAAGCTCCCTGTTGATTATTTGCAGATATAATATCCTTGTTAGTAACTGTAGTGTTTTTGTATTTTACACAATTTATTTTTAAATAAGTTGGTGTCATGGTTCTTTTTTCACTTAGTTGCAGTCTGGTATGAAGGGGTAGATTATTGATATTGTGTTGGAATGATTCTCTCATCGCAGGCATACAGCACTAGTTTGACCTCAGTATCTTGCACGCGTCGAGATGTGAATGCAAGTTTAGAGGGGGAGTGTTTCCTTCACTCCCAATTTTTGTAACCTTGCTGATGCGACCATGGAGGTAATTATGCTGACGGTGTCTAGGAGAGCACCCTGTGGTGATGATGGTCGAATGAGGCTTATGGATTCCATACGAGCACTGCATGAACACTTGACTTGGGTTCGTGACAATAAGTGCCTCGGCAAACATTTGGGCAGCTCATGACTAATCTCTGCACACGAATGGCCAAAATTAAACACTGTTTACAGCTCAGCACATGCTGCACATGTTGCCATCCCCAGCCTATGGCTATACGCAGTTCTCACGTGACGTCATTCTAGTCACCATTCCCAGGTACTAAGCGTCCCATTAATGTAGTGGAAGGTAGGTCTAATCTGCACCCCGTGATTGGCGCGGCCCTACTAGAATAAAACGTCATCATCTCACCTACCAATCGTGTGTGTCCTGTGTCCTGTGATGTCGAGATCGCTCTAGCGCTCTTATCAGTTGCTTTGGGACTCGCTATGAGTTGTCCGCGTGCCGTTCGTTCGGTGATGTGCACAGTTTCTAAGTGCTGGCAAAGTCGCGATTGCAGCGAGTTAGCGCAGTTGAGTGCGCTTCTTAACGAGCACCGGCGTGCTGTGCAGAAGCGACACTTACAGAGAAAACACCGTGATCGTGCGTATTTCGCAGGCACTGCGATTGTGCATTGAGTGGAAGGCACACCTCCAGAGAAGAAGAGGTCACGCGCGTGTGCGACGAATGCAGGAAAACATTGTAATGTAGCGTAATGATTGTTCATGTTCCTGGTCAATATAAGTGCTTACCTCAAGGCAAAAAAAAAAAAAAACTGGCTTTTACCATGAATCTGTGTTACTCTACAATTGAGGTTCCGTCAAGCAGTGTGCATCATTGCTCATCATTTCTTTAGTCTAAGATTTAAAACGAATATTTGGGTATAGCAAGAGGACTGACAAATCTCTCATCTACTTACAATCTCTATGTAGGGCTCAGAATTAACTGAGCCTTGGCAGTGGGTAGGCAGATACTTGAGAATAACCTAAATGAAACCAGCTAGATTTTCCTTTACAAAGTATAATCATTGCTCACATGCTGAGTTTGTGCACTAGAAAGCTATCTCTACTGGAAAAATGCTGTTGACAAGGAGAACTAAATGACAAGCTTCATTTGTTGCTTCGATTAACAACTGCAGAATTTACGCACATCCTTGAGAACGTGAACAAAACATACTCAAAATTACTCTTGTCTAACCTCATTTCAGTGGATTACTGTGTGCCCCTTGATATTAGGTGTTTTAGGTATGATAGTCTTTATATCATATCTAAAATGACTTTTTATTCATACTCGTTCACACTCATCCATCACTCAAATACTATAATGTTTTGAAAAATGTGTACTAAGGTAAGAGTGCTAAGCTAAGTTAGCATGTAGCTTAGCTTGTTTGTAGCTAGCTAAGCTAGTTACACACGACTGGAAGCTAACTTAGGTTAGCTTCCATTAAGCTAAGCTACCTTCCGCCATCTTGACATCAACACTGTCAAGATGGCGGAAGCTGAGCGCAATGGCAGTATCAGAAAGGCACCGCAAGTGTTCAATATGCGATTCGAAATTCGACCCAAGTCACTATTAGCTTCTTATTCGCTTGAAACATAAAATTTGTTATTCGCACATGCCTGGTTAAGGGGAAACTAAAGCGGTTTTGTACCTTTAAAAAACACTTGCATCATCTTCATATTGCCTCCAGTATCACGAATATTAAAATTATTTGTCAATTTGAGGCCCGAAGTAGCCATCAAAGCATTTTGACCATAGCGCTGAAGCCCCGCCCTCCCGAGGTGTAAGAAGCTAGGAGGAAATTTCTGAGAGACAGCAGCGTCGCAACAGGATCCTCGGAATCTCTGCAGCTATTGCAAGCTTATTTGAGTGGTCGACAAATTGTGTGCGATTCACCTCATGCTCACGATTTTCGCTCGCCTGTTTGTTTTGACGTAAGTTTAGTGCACCTATAAACTTTCATAAAAGATTTAGCGGATGTTGGTCAGGCGTGAAAGATTGTAGCGGGAACTAGGTGTCTGTAGCAGATGACGCACCATTTCACGAGAATAAAAAAAGCACTGCATTGGGCAAGGCTGGACACATGTGCCGGAACACTGCACGAGAGATGGTGCTTGAGCTTCGGTGGCCAGGTGAAAGTTCTTGACGTGACATCATGCCGAGTGAATTTTTTAAATATTTCTTTGCGTTGGGTGATACTTGTTGAGCAAATAGTGCATATTCAAATTTGCAGGATACAAATACGGAAGAATTTACCTCTAACTCATTTTTTTTGGAGAACCTCTTTAGCTTCCCTTAAAGTGTTTTCAACAAAATCAGTCAGTGGTTCACAAATCGGAGTCGGTGACACTTTTAGCAACGCCCAGCTACCAAAGTAACCATGGAGTGTACTTTACTTCAGTGCTGGCATTCATCACCTTTGCTCATGAAGTGGAACTGCCAACTTTAAGAGAGTGGCAAAAACTCATAAAAAACCAGCAAAAACCATTCGTATGGACAACAGGAATGGAAGTTAGCAGCCTTTTCTTCGTTTAGTGCCCATGCTGTTCTTTTATTGACTGAGGGGGAAGTTTCAAATCATTGATTCCTTCAGTCCAGTTTACCAAACATTGCATACACTTGATGATCTAAAGCAGTTCTGTGTTTGTAGGTGAGCACTGCCCTACGGCTCCTCAGTCACTCCACGGCCACTGCCCTGCGCTTCCTGGTGGAGAATCATGGCTGGAGCACCAACTTCCTCACCACGGCTTGGTTCTTGGAACAGGTCAACAAATGGTTTGATCTTATGAGCAGCAGGCACCCAGTCCTTGCAATCAGCAGGCAAAATGAGGCCTGCTACAAGAACACCCTTGACTTTCTGGTCAAATTTAAGGATCTTTTTGTCCACCTCACTATTGGGGATGGGGCGTTCAAGCCAGTGCAGGCGGGGGTAATCCTCTCTACTAAGTCCATTCTGGACCTGCAGCAAAGTCTCATTGAGAGACATTCTTTTTCATTTGTGCTCACATCCAGATTCACGCAGGACTGCCATGAAAACTTGTTTTCGGTAGTGCGACAGGGCAACCCTATCACAACTTCTTGGAGTTTAAGATGACCTTGAAAATCATCACACACTCGCAGTACCTGAAGGCGTCCAAGGCAGGGTCCTACGAACTGGACGATGCCTCCTTTTACCTGGCTGACCTCGCAGACTTGGATGTACAACCTGCTGTGCCCACCGACATTTTACTTGAGGAGGTAGAACTCACCATGTCACAACCTGAGGAGGATAGCTTTGACTATTACGCGGGTATGTGGTACGAAGAGTTGTAAAAAATAATGCTACATGTGACACGTGTGCTGCAGCTGTTCGAGTCCCCATGGCACCTGCAAATAGCCTCCTCAGGCTAAAGAGTTATGTCCCTGACGCTCTGACCTGCCACTCTGAAGCTGCACGCGCCCTCTTCACAATTTGTGAAAGTGTCTTTCGCAGCCTCATTGCGGATTTGATGCATGCACGGGGCATCCTGGACGGCCTATCGGCGAGGATGGCTGCAGAGAGCCAATGTGTTCAGCTGCCCAACTGCCATGAAATCAAAATGAAGCTCATCAGGCGATTCTGCCATGCACGGCTGCAACTGTTCCTGCGGGAAAAAAGTCGCGAGTTGGCGGCTGGGGCAGCTGAACGCAGGGACTTCGGCAGTCGATGGCAGGACCTCGGAGAACTAATTAGTGTTTTAGATTGCCTTAGTTGATGAAACTGGTGTCCCGTTCTCATTTTTTTTTTTTTTACTTTGCTTTCTTCTTTGTGTTAAGGGCAGCTTTCAATTTTTGCGTTCCTTGTTTACCGAGGCACTTCTGAATTTTTTTTACTCTTGCAACGGTTGTTAGTGCGAGGCCCTTTTTCTTGTGATCTCCATGTAAGCCTACGTGAAGCTTCTGCATTTTTTTTTTATGCTTGCAACACATGTTTGTGGGAAGTTTCTTGTGCTGTGCTTGTAAGCATCTGTAATTTTTTTATGCTTGCTACGGGTCTGTGAGAAGCCCATTTTCTTGTGCTGTGCCTGAGGCCTCTGAATTTTTTTACGCTTGCTATGGGTCTTTGTGGAACGCTTTTTTTCTTAGGCTCTGCCTGTAAACCTGTGTGAGGCCTCTGAATTTTTTTTACGCTTACTAGAGATGTTTGTGGGAAGCTCTTTTTCTTATGCTCTACGTGCAAGCCTGCATGAGGCCTCTGGATTTTTTTCATGCTTGCTTCAGATGTTTGTGGGAATCCTTTCTTTTTCTTGTGCTCTGCGTGTAAGTTTGCGTGAAGCATCTAAATTTTTTTCACACTTTCTTCAGCTCTTTCTGGGAAGCTTGCTTTTTCTTATGCTCTGCATGTAAGCCTGAGTGAAGTCCCAGAATATTCTTTTTCTTTTACGCTTGCTTCAGATGTTTGTGGGAAGCTTTTCTTTTTATTGTGCTCTGTGCGTATGGCTGCATGAAGCCCCTGAATTTTTTTACGCTTGCTACGGTTCTTTGTGGGGAGCACTTTTTCTTCTGCTCTGCGTGTAGGCCTATGTGAAGCTTTCGCTGTCATGCAAACTTGCTCTTCTGTATCATGTTTTTTTTTTTCTTGTCCTCCTTCTTGTGCTGTGCACTGCTTATGTTTCACTCATCCCTTTTTGCTTCATGTGGATGTTTGTAGCCTACACTTTCCTTCCTGGTGTCTTGCATGAAAGCCTATGCAGAGACTTCCTGCCCATGTTAGCTTGTCTTTTCCCCTGTCATTCTTCTGTTCACTTTCCTCGTGTCATTCGCATACCTCGAAATATGCACTCTCTCTGTATCCTCAAGTTTATCACTTCTGCACTTGCTTAAGACATTTGCAAGCCATCCCTTTACTTCATGAGCTTTCCATGTGAGCCTTCACCGTGCAGCACCTTTACGCTTCTGGGAGCCTATGCTTTGCCTCCGACCCTTTTGGTTTATCCACTTGCCTATTTTAATTTTGCAGTTTCTGTGTTTTTTCTTGCAGAGGCACGAGACCCATGTCCCCTCCATGGTCATCGGTTGCAGCTTTTGGGTCTGTCTCATTTTATTTCATTGTAGTTGCAGACTTAATTATTGTTAGGTATCTGTGTGTTAGTTTGTTTGCAGTAGACCTAACTGCCGCCATTTCCTTTCCGTGAGTTAGTTTTTGTCAGACGCTCGTACTCAGTGTAACAGGTGCAAGGGCTGGGTTTTGTTGCTGTGTCCAGGATGTTGCAAGGAGACTGCTGGCCAATGGACTTCTTCCAAAACCGACGCGCCCCGTTGCGGCGAAATACCATGCAGTGCATTCTGGGAACTAGTTGGCCACTCAGTTTCGGTTTCGACTGAGCAGATTCATCTCGTGCTATCACGCCGCGACCGAACGCACTGCTTGCAATTGCGATTATCTGACTTTTTTACGAATGTACAATATACTCATTCTCGAGCGATAGAAAACGAAGGCCGGGGCACTTTTTTTGGTTCCCGAAACACCGGATATTTGAGTGCGTATGCAAACGTAGTAGGACGTGGCTTATTCACATCATCTTTGAGTTCAATTTCAATAATCCCGTCTAGTACCATTGAACTACAAGTGAAATTCGGTCACCTGGAGCATTACACATATTTTGTTTGCCAAATGTCCGCTTCTTGTTACTTCATTGGGCGAAAAGCAAGCCGCATCTTCACAGGAGTATCAAAGTTGAGCCCAGCGTTGACGCGTAAACTTTTAAGGAAATGCAATAAATTCGACCTCACTACTGCACCAAAGTTACTATGATGTCTTCCTCGTGTCATCATATATCTCCCACTCAAATTTTATGCTGATAGACAATTAAGTTTTCGCAAACGCAGAGATGGGCTAGCTACAACGGAGGCCCTAACAAGCGTCCCCTACTCCTCGCTAAGCCTTTTTGGACGAGCTTTTACTGACGCCCAAGATCTGTGCCTGAACGGTGTGTCCGAAATTATCGCAACATACTCAGGCAGGAAGAAAGCTAACACATGACAAATATTATGGCCATTAGCAACCGTCAAATGCACTTTGAAAAATTTCGTTCGTTTGGCGCACCGCATAGGGGTTCATACCCGTCCGGCGTACTTCTGGCGAATGGTGCAACATTTTTCACACAAGTGCTCGACTTTTGCTTTCTTAAAACGGTCTGTATGCGCGAATGTGCCTATACGATTGCAGGATAACTTTACGTGCATACGCGATGTTGAATATTAGTATAATGCAAGTGGGTGGGGACTTCACTTCGTGCAGTGCTGCGGGTCAGTACAGATAAGAGATAAGAAGCTTTTCAGTGGCACCTCCGAGTTTTACTTCGCATACACAGGCGTATTAAGAAAACAGTAATTGCAAAAAGTAGTATTTCTTCTATGGACGCACGAAACGAACAAACTTCCTGATCAACAACATATAATGTAAAGGCGCGAGCTTTATGTATGCATACTTATTGGTTGCTACAGCCTGTTGATTCGTACATAAGCAAGATCCCCGAGCTTCGCAGCGTCGAGATTCCCAGCACTGGCTCGTCCAGATACCTCGAAACGTTAACAAAAAGGCTCAAGTACAAAAATAGAACAAGCATGTGTTAAGAGAAGCTATATACGTCTCGGGCTTGTGCTAAAGCTTCGCCATTTAGGTAAGTTTATAGACCACAAATGACGCTCTCGGGACCAGAAAACATGAGATAATGGCCGTTTATAGTCCACGCTCTGTGTGTAATCTCTGGTCGACGTGTCGATCGAAACCGAAACCATGCCACTCTCCTCCCTGGCCAACTAGTTCCCAGAGTGCAACGCGCGCCGTGTTGCATGCAGGGCTTTATGGAAGTAGTCTGTTGTGTGCATGCATCAAGAATAGTTGTGTGTCAGAAGTTCCTTTATTTCCTTGTTTTTTGACTCCATACAGACCAATGTTGAAATTGTTGGTGGCTGCTTCATCCATGGAGTGCAAGGATCATACCTATTTGTTTATTAGGGAATAATTGACATGGCCGTGTTATACATGTTTGTTACATGGTCACTGGAAAGTGTGGGAAAAGAGAGAAAGCCCATGGCCGTTGCACAGGGAAGCCCCCAGAAACACTGACCCCTGGTGGTGGCATGATCCAACACTTTGCCGCACAAACTAAAGGTTCATCTTGGTTGGTGTCCCCCGTGCCTGAGTGGGGCATCCTTGCACTGCTTAAAATGCCTGCTCAGTTCCTGGTCCATAGCCTGGTTTTTTCACTTGTTAACTGCCAATCAAGTTAGTGCCCAGTGGTAATTTCATCATCTGACTAAAAATGAGTTGAGTTAAAGCGTCTGGGGCACAACTGGCCCAGGTGGTGCTTCATTGTGCCATGGTGGATTTTACCAAAGTCATGCAGTTTTCGACAACCTGGAAGATCTTGGTCCCCATTGTTCTACAGCTCCCATGTTTCTTTCAAAAACAGGGCTGCTTTCTTTAAGCTTGCTAGGTCTTTCCAGGTCTACCTTTGGCTCCTGGGTCTCAGTGATGAGGTCCAAGCAGCAAACTCTAGGACAAAAGTTGAACACGAGCTCTGTTGGAGATTGTCCTCCTGTGGTAGGCGGTGTGCGACAGTACACAAGGAGCCATCTTGGCAAGTATGCGTCCAAAGAACCACCCGAGAGTTTCTTTAGACTGTCCTTGATCGTTCTGACAGCTCTCTCGTGAAGTCTGTTTGACTGTGGATAGTTAGGTGCAGTCCTTAGGTGGCCAATTCCATTCTGAGTAATGAAGTCGGTAAACAGCGTGCCGGGGAGTGGTGTTCCATTATTGGACACCAAGCAAACAGGAAGTCCTAACCAGGCGACCGTGTTCCTCAGATATTCGACTGTTGCAGTGGAGTTGGCTGGCTGCTGATGCCAGTGGTTTCTTTCAATCTTGGTAGCTGTTTACCACAATTAGCACCGTTTTACCTTCGATAGGTGCAGTGCAGTCCATGTAAATTCTTGTCCATGGAGCCGTGGGTTCTGGCCAAGCTTGTGGCTCTGCTTCTGGTGGCATTAATGCAGCCTGTTGGCATATTGTTCAAGGTTGTACGGCATCAACCATTGCCTTACCTCATTGCGTTGATACCCATGCGTGTGTCATGGAATTCTTGGAAGAAGGTTAACCTCCTATGGGCCTTTTGACTCCGTGGATGTTGTGTGACGACACTGGTCCAACTGCCTCTGGAGGTGTGGCACATTCAGGATCAGTTCCTCAGTGTGGTTGCCATACACCAGGAGCCTGACGCAGCAGTGTCTGCTTTGCCTTGTTAAAGTCGTCGTCTTCCTTTAATACACACCTCTATTTCACATTTTTCCGGAGCAGGTGGTTGAATGGAGCCAATAGCTGAAACATTTGAGGCAGGCAGCTTGCATGCTATAGATGATGAATCCTGAGAAATAACAAAGTGCATCGCAATTCCATGGAGCAGGAACCTTCAGGTTGGCTTTCAGCTTGTTGAGATAGGTAGGTAAGTCTATCTACCTAGTGATCGAGCTGAACGACTGACTTGCTTGCATCCAAGCTCGCAGGAAAGTCCTCAGAAGTACTGGCCCTCTGGTAGCCGGACCCATCAGTGACATTGCCTTTATCTTTCGTAATTAGGTGAAAGCTTGGTAACTTACTCGGGTGGACGAATATCAGATTTCTGTCATTTCACATCATTCATGCTATCTAATTAATTAATTTGATGTTTTTTTGAGTGTCCAAATTGTGAAAATATTTTGAACTTTTCCATGGTATATACTGGTAGTTTAGTGGCTGGATATTAAAACTGAATGTGTGACAAATGTTAGAAAGAAGGTCCTGTCGGTGCCCATGCAAACGACCAGGGGCGGATCCAGACCTCCATTTTAGGGGGGGCGGTTCCTCGATGTAAAACGGCGGGGAGGGAGTGTTTATATTTTTTGTAGAGTTATCGTTTTTACTAAACTCTGTTAACATAATATAGATCTTGAGAGCTTTTGTATCGGTTTACCTGTCGGGGATGAACTCTTTGAATTAAAACCTCTCGGGTGACCACGCTAGAGGCAAGTATCTCGAAAATTGTGGTGGCACTATCCTTTCTGGAACTTGGGTTTCAGACCGACACTACGTGAGCAGTCGATTTAGGGAAGCTTAAAGACATTGCCTTGGCAGACATTCTGGTTGGAGCTAGTGCTTAACTGCTGCGGCAACGGGAAGAGCGGCTTAAATCAATGGAGCGAGTACGTTGCAAACAAGCGACAAAAATGGCCCGGCGGCTTCAACGCTGCTCGCGGCGTCAAAACACTGTTGACGCAGCGAGCGAAACGAACGCTGCCATGGAAGTTCGTCGGTTGTTCGCCGTATATTTGGAATGTTCAGAGCGCAGCACATGCGGCATTGCCAACCCAAACTCGTGTTTTCACGTGTTCTGGATGCAACTCGAGAGAACGAAAGCGAATAATTCTTGAATATTTTTGAAAGCATGTTGCAGTTCGGCAACTATAACCTTTGAACTTAGACAAGACCTTAAACCAGCAATGGATCCTTCAAAATTATATTCAATTGCACTTCGTCTGGATATTTTCTGTATCAAAGGAACACTTACTTGTTTCTGGATAGTTAGCTCATTTGTCAGGGTCGAGAGGACAGGTGCAGAGATATGATAGGGCAGAGCGGTTGTAAGGTCGGCGAATCTCAACTGGGCTAAAGGCCGATCACGACTGCAGCATGGATGTTTGGGGGTCGGTGTTCACCCGAAGGGGCACAGGCACTCTCTATTTAATTTATGTATAGTCGGATCTTTGAAAAGGCTCGTTTTCCCCAAGTCCCTTAGGTAGGGAATTCGAAGCCGCAGTCGGAAACCAGCAAGCCCCGCCTCTGTTCCATTAGACACACACATATTCGCTCCTGCAAAGCCGGGCGAAAGCTCTGCCGTCAATCCACAGGAGCCGCGTTTAACTCGAAAAGTAAAGACGGCGCCAAGGGGAGACAAGGGGTAGCGGGCGCCTTTCCTAAAATATGTCCCGCCACCCTAAGTTGAAACGGCATTGTATACAAATAAATGCCTACGGCGTCGGCTTGAGGACCCCGTGTAAGCTAGGGTGCCTTCATGAGCGCACATGAAGGCTCCCTAGCGTAAGCAGCCTCCAGCCTTTAGAGTGCTCGTACCGTTTATCTTTCTTTTATTAGCTTCCCGCCACGAGAAGTCGTACCGCAGGCAGTATGAAGCCCATTAGAGAAAACATCTCCCCCTTCTGGCACTCGTCGGCTTCTTTCTGTATTCCGTGCTGCGGCCTATCCTCAGTGAGGGATGGAGGCGAGGATGAAAGCGGGCTTATGTTTAAGCCAAGGTCGTGGGGAAGTCCGGAGCGTCTTCAGGAGAAGCTCAGACCCAGACTACACTGTAGCCAGAGCATTTGCTTCCTCTCTCAGTTGAGAAGAAAAGCAATTGGTCACCTGGTTGTACAAACTGTATCCTGCGTCGCGATTGCTTACGTTTTTTCTTCGAGCTGACGAAGAACCCCGGGGGGAGGGGGGGGGGGGGGGGGGGGGGCCTGGCGAGGCGTTTGGGGGGGCGATCACCCCCACCGCCCCCCCCCCCCCTTGGATCCGCCACTGCAAACGACACCGCTATTTTAGAACCCCATAAATTGCCGGAGCAGTATAGAAAGAGAGAAGAGTGCAATTTATTAGAAAAGAAAGAAGGGGTCCACCGTGCACATCGGTACTGGTTTGGTGATTGGATGAGTCAATTCAGGGACGTTCAGTGCTTGTATGAAGGCTTCCTAGAGGCCGTTTCATTCACATAACGTGATCCTTCCAAGAAAAAAACGAGTAAACTGACCTTGTAGTATTTTTCTTTGTTGTTGAATTCATTCATTCCAGATCTCAGTTTAGTTGGTTAAATTATTCATATCCTTTTCACTAAAAGTCTCTATATAGCAGCACGTGTCGGTATCATTCTATGAAGTCTGTTCGTAGACGATAGCGTGGCACCTCAACAGGACCCCGTTGAGCAAAATGACTGATCTTGTTGAGGCGAATGAAGTGCCTCATGAACGAAGGCAACAGTGAGAGTGAGAGACGCACCCACTCACGAATGTTTAAGTCCTCACAAAGGAAAATGTGTCTAACGAATTTAGCAACGTTTCTATTAGAGCCCCGTCTGTCTTCACTGACGTACTCAGCAACTCTGGGCATTTCCGTGCCCAGCGCCAGTGCTCACTATTAATAAAACGCAGTCTTAAAATGTTTGAGTCGTGTATACGCTCTGTGCAGGATTATCTCTCTAGAAATTATTAACTATACGAGAAGGGCGCGAACTTCTGTCGCGATGAACAAAGAAGGTAGTGCTCCTCGGCCAGACTAGTAACTCTAGCGCGACTAACATCACCGACATAAAAAAAAAAACTAGCTTTTTAGCAACCTAGGTTTTTCAAAAAGGTTGTTTACGTTAAAACGTAGAAAACACAATCAGCAGGCCGTGTTTGGCTCGCCTCCGAGCAGCGGTTGCTGATGTTAGCTTGGAGAGACTATGCTGAGCTGTCGATGAGAAAGCTGTCGTAAAATTTCCAAAAATATATATTTATTATTGGCGCAGTTGGTTCTGTAATTGTTTACTCAGACTTCTTTTCGAGCGTGTTCTAAGAGCCATGTTAACAGGTAAAAAGAAAACTAAAAAGTTATACTTCTCTTATTTGTTTGCAGCACAGTCAACAAGCTGCAAAGAGCAGCATGAACAAAATGAACCGGAAAAGATGTCCAGCCACCAGCAAGCTGACGACTGCGCCACTTCACCATGCTGTACCACGACGCCAAATTGTGTGCCATCGCCAAGCTGTGCCACGACGCCAAGCCACATCGCTGATGCACCAGATGAGCCTCCGAGATTTTGCTCAACGCTTTCCACCAACCAGAACCAAATGTCTGACGACGACCCGTCGTTGCCAATGCCGACTAACGACCTGGACAAGCAAGCCAGGCAAGCATGGGGTCCTTTTCAGCCTCATCTGAGCAGCTATGCCCAAACAGAAACGAATAATCGAAAGCGCAGCTTTTGTGAACACTGGTTTGCAAAGTTCAGCTGGCTTGAATACAGTCCAGCAAAAGATGCAGCCTTTTGCTTTTGTTGTCGGGCGTTTCCGCCGGGCAGTGGTACCAAAGCACATTTAGACCCATCCTTTGTTTCAACTGGGTTTCGAACTTGGAAGAAAGCGATAGAAAGGTTTAATCAGCATGAAAGGTCTGAGGGCCATCTTAACAGTGTTGTGTCATGGAATTGCTCCAAAGCAAACAGATCGATTGCTTCAATGCTGGATGAAAGCTTTGAACGACGAGCGTCTCAAGTTGAAGAAAAACGAAAACAAAATCGTGAGGTGCTAAAGCGCCTTACTGACATCATTGTTCTTCTCTCAAAGGGAGGAAGGCCATTCAGAGGGCACAGTGAAAATAAGGAAAGCGCAGAGCAAGGTCTATATTTAGAGATAGTTAATATCTTAAAGAAGTACGACCCCGTTTTGCGGGGCCACTTAGAGTCAGGCCTAAAGAACGCCTCCTACATCAGCAACAGAATACAAAATGACATCCTAGAGTCACTGCATGCAGCCATTTTTTCTTCGATTGTCCACCGCATAGAAGGTAAAACAGTCTCGCTCATGTGCGACGAAACAAGTGACTGCAGTCATCATGAACAGCTCTCTGTTGTTATTAGGTACTTCTGCGAAATTAAGAACAGGCCTGTGGAGGTCTTCCTTACTCTCGACAGGCTTAAAAATTTAGACAGCGACTCTGTGTTTTCCACATTGCAAGCAGTTCTCAACACCATCAATGTTTCCTGGAATTCTGTGAGTTCCGTCTGCTTTGACGGGGCTTGTACTATGTCAGGGCACGTTGCTGGCGTTCAAGCAAAGTGCAAAGAGCAGAACAACAAGCTCGTCTACGTTCACTGCTATGCCCACAGCTTAAACCTGGTGCTTGTCGATGCATGCTTGTCTTGAGCAGAAAACAGAATGATGTTTGATTTCTTTGGCGTTGTGCAACTTGCGTACAACTTTATTGAAAACAGTGTTGTGCGCCATGCTGTTTTTGAGCGAATTTTCCAAACTGTCGGCACACAGCTGAAAACTTTGAAGTCTTTGTCTACAACCAGATGGGCATGTCGTGCTGAAGCAGTAAAGGCCAGTTCGCTGTGAGAGCTACAGCGAACTGTCGAGTGCAGTAAGAACGATTGTGGACTCCACAAAGCACCCGGAGACAAAAGCAAAAGGCAAAGGACTCCTTTCCCAGGTGATGAGCTTTGACTTTGTCTGCAGCATGGAAATAGCTCACCCTATTCTACAGCTTATTTTGAAGGTTAGCCGAGCTCTTCAGGACCCTAAAATTAACCTTACCACTGCACTCAATGAAGTCAGGCATCTGCAAAAAGCGCTGCGAGAGATGAGGCAAGATGGGACAGTCTTTAAAAAGATGTTTGCAGAAGCTTCTTCGATCTGCGAGATGAATGAAATCGAGATTCCCGAAGTTCGAAGAAGAAAGGTATCGAAGCGATTTGACCAAAACTGGGCGAATGAATGTTTCTATGCGACAAAAAAGGAGGAATTTCGTGTCGGTGTTTTCTTTCCGATGCTTGACTCCTGTGTTCGAGGGATCGAGGAAAGGTTCACACAAGAAACTTTTGAGCTTGTGTGTGCTCTCCAGAACCTTTTGGGCCTCTCTGTGAGCGAACAAACAAATATCTCTTATTTGTAGCTTTTTGAGGTAGATCCCGACAGCTTGGGTGCTGATATGCAACTCCTGAAGTCCCGAACCAGCGACGAAAAAACAAACAGCATGACCGCCTATGACTGGCTGGATTCACTCAAAGAAAATGGGTTGGACAAGTCAGTATTCAAGGACTTTTCTCGCGCTCTTCAACTTTTTTCCACGATTCCTGTAACCAGTTGCTCGTGCGAAAGGACATTTTCGAAGCTCGCACATGTAAAGACCAAGTTAAGATCCATGATGTCGCAGGAACGGTTTCGTTGGCTGATGCTGCCCTTTGTGGAGCAGGACCTAGCAACATCCATCAGTTTTGATAATATCTTAAAGCATTTTACGACTAAAACGCGCAAACTTTTGTTATGAATGTGTTTTAATTTCGCAGGATATGCTCTCGCATTAACCTACAATGTCGCATAATTCTACTTTATCCTTAATTGGTTGACAGCCGGCGGAAGAGGGTGCTTTACAGCCGATTCCGTCCGAACTAAGGTTCGCCTCTCACACCGATACTATTTTTGCACAGCTCAGCTTGAATAGTACTTTTGTATAGTGTAGTTAATTTTACTGTGTGTTACTGTTTTCATTTGCACCAGCCCTGTTGTTGTGTTGTGTTAATTTTTTTTTAGAGTACCGTTTGTGAACTGAAATTGTGTATCGTCTGAGCCCTCTTGTGATTCATTTTCTTTCTGTGTTTTGTGATGGCGCTTGTGCCCTACGAGTGCAAGCTGTGGTTTCTTTATCATGGGGGTCTCCACTTTTGTTTGGCAATAAATCGTTTTTGTTGTTAGAAAAGTTATCTCATCTTCTTATTTCTCCCACACTTCAAAGCGCATGTAAGTCCACTTTCACGCAGAGCACTCGCAAATCCAATTACTGCGGTCTACGAGGATATGGATATGATGACACGTAACAGTGGCAAGTATGACGTTTTGTGGCATTACGTCATGTTCGGTGTCACAGCTCAGATTTAATTTTTAGGTTCAAACATATTTCAAGCCTTATCATTCTCCGGGCCCCATTCGTAAACCGCAATAATTAGACTTCCAAGTAATCTGCGGGAAAGTAAACTGAAAGGTAGTTTTATAGTGACACTGAAGTAAACTTGGAAGTCATATTTCGCGGTTAAAATATGGTGTTCTAGTGCACTCCTACTAGGGTACACTAGAACACCTTACCCCCAGAGCCTTACCCCTACGGCGTAAGGGTCTCGGTGAGACGGGTGTGAGGGGGGGGGGGGGGGGCACTGCAGTGAATTTGGCCCCCCCTATAGGAGGACCCTGTGCACGCCTATGATCTTGCAGTATGCTTTGCATGTTATATTTCTCAATTTAGAAATGATTAAGTCTTGATATATTGATTGTAACATGTCATAGCATCAGTAAACCTAAGATGCAAGGGGACAGAGAGGAGATAAAAAAAAAAGAGGGACAACACACACACCATCCCGTTCAGTGTTGTCACTCTTTTTTTTTGTGTCTTCTCCTTTCGGTCTTCCTGCGCCTAAGATTTAGTAATGTTTGAAATTCACGGTCTTGTCTGTGCCGTGATATGTTACAATGTCTGCTATGTTACAAGTCAAGAGAGATGCCTAAATAGTTGCCATAGCACCCTATTTATAATGGCATGCAATAGCGTTTTAAATGTGTGGGATGTGTATGGGGGGGGGGGGTATGTTGCCATGACGAAAATTGTATAAATTATAGGAGGCATGTTGTCTCTAAAATGTTGTGTTTTATAAACTTTACTATAACTTACCTGATGCAGCATAAAATGCCCCAAGTTAACTTCTTTGCCTTCCTTTCTGCACTTCCTTCTTCCTTCTAATGCAGCAGTAGTCACTACTAACCATTCATGTTTTTAACTTTCCGTGACGCATAACACATCATTTCGATGCATTTCTACTACCCGCCATTGTGATAGGCAAAATATTTGCCTTACTTTTTTATCTCTGCCATTCCATGTGCCATAAAATGATGAGCATGTGCTCATATCGCAATAGGTGTCCACCCCACTTTTGAAAATTTAAAAAGCGATTAAGAACATATCAAGCACCCAGGCCAGTAAACTTCTGAATGTATTGAATAAAACAAGGTGCTCCTCCGCATCAACCACATTTCCCAGTGCGCTGGTGCAGAGCGGTGAAGCTTTCCATGCTCACTCCGGTAAGAAGCAATGAAGCTTCACATGAGAGTGCCAGCACAAAGCTGGCTGGATGCAAGCGGTGCTACTGCTTTAAGAAAATAGGGGTCCCACCAGACTACAACACTGCTCCTGCACCGTTCTGACTTTCAGCGCTGGAACCTGCAAAGTGCCCATCCCATATTTTTTACAATTATCTCCAACCATTTGATGAGCGCTTTCTCAATATTTTACGGCACATAGCTTCTGGTAGGAATGCCAGTTTCTTTGTCTTAAACACCAGCTGGTGGAGTACCTGCGAAACTCTTGAAAACCCATTGACAAACTTGGGGATTATGATTCTAACCCATTGTTCATAAAGCGATTGTGGTAAGATTTGTTTGTTATGCCAAGAGCACAATAACACTGACCTTGGGAAGCTGTTTTTAACCACATTTTGATATCATACATGCATAACATGCCATTTACTGCAAAATTAACAGGACACCTGAGCATGGTAAGTTATCTTGAGTATTTATCATTCTTCTGTTCTTTTCGGGATGAGTTTTGAGTGGAGTCCCCTTGCTTGAATGGGAACAATATAAGGCTTAAAATTTCACTGTTAATTATTTTCAGTAATTTTTAATACATTTTAAATAAACTTTTTATTACTAATGAAAGACACAGGACTTGTTTATACTAACACTTCTTTTTACTGTAGGCTGCAAGTCTGCAAGCAAATATCAAAACTTGCCAATTTTAAATTAAGGAGTGCACAAATCATTCTTCTCTAAGAAGCTTAAAGGCTTTACTGAAGATTGGTACTCGGATAACTGACACTGCCTCACACTCTTTATAATAAAATGTCATGCTTTTGCTTTAACATTTGTGGTACACTGTTTCCCCTCTAATGTGTGGTACATGCCTTAATGCTTTCTGTAACTCTAATGGGATGTCTGGATCACCAAGTGGAGAAAGGTAATGTGCTCCAAAATTTATGAAGGGGCAATAGGCTCTCAGGATTTATTGTTAAAGGTTTGCCGTTTGTCACCAGATT